ATTTACTCTCTGCTATCTTAGCATTCCTAGTCTTTATATTTTTTGCAATAGATCTCATCACCTTTTACCTACATGAGACTATTACCTTGAAATTTGGCACCTCTCTCCTATCTCATAAGTTTTCTATTCCTATCACATTTTCCCCCAATTATCATAAACACATGATGTTTCTCCCAAGTTAAAAATGACACCTCTCACCTGCTTTGGCCATACAGATTTTATCCTGCTACTTTGTAATTTCTGTGTGTTTTTCAATCATACATAGATTATTTGAATTTATTTGCTGTCTATCATTACTTCTTTTTAAATACAATAATAGAGCAGTTTATTAATGATGCATAAAAGAGTATTTTGGAAGTGTGGATTTAGCCTAGTACTTAAGAAACCTGCATCACTTATTGCAGTATCTGGGTTCAGTTCCCAACTTTGCTGACTTCAGTTTCCTGCTAATGTAGACACTTGGAGGGAGCTGATATGGCTTACCTAATTGGGTTCCTGCCTCCTACTTGGGAGACATGGATTTAGTTCTGGCTCCCAGCTGTGACCCCAGCTGTTGTGGGCATTTGGGGAGGAACCACTGAAAGGAACTCTCTGGTCTGTCTCCTACTCTTTTCTCTGTTGGTGTCTCTGACTCTCAAATAAATACATTTAAAAATGACTTATTTTAAATTATGTACATTTGCATAAACTCAAGTCCTATTTTAAATTGTAATGTTTTATGTCATTTACCTTACTTAAGTTCAGAGCATATTTCATGTTTTACGTGCCAGGTACTTAAATACACCAACACGAATGAGGAGAAAATATGTAATTTCCTTATTTAGACAGTTGTGCAGTTGGCTTCTGGGAGAGTTTCATTCTAAGCAGCTTTTAAAATATTTAATTTATTTTGCTATTATTTGAAAGGAAAGAGAGAAAGAGCGAGTGAGCGAGCATACATGCAGGATCTTCCTCCTGCGGGTTTACTCTAAATGCCTGTAACAGTCAGGGCTGGGTCAGGCCAAGGCTGACAGCCTGAAACTCTATCTGAGGTCTCTTACATGGATGATATGTTCTCAACTACCTGAGCCATCACCTGCTGTCTTCCCAGGTGCACATGAATAGGAAGCTGGAATTGAAAGCCCAGCCAGGACTTAGTAAACCCAGCTACTCCCATATGGAATGCAGGCTTCCAAAGCAGTATTATTCTGCACCAAATGTCAGCTCCCTCTAAGCAGCTAAGTCTATACTTAATTTGTCACAGTTCATATTGACCAAATATTAGTCACTTTTTTAACTTTTTTATTTATATAAAGAAAACACATTTCATGTATTTCATATATACAGTTTTTTTTGTTTGTTTGTTTGTTTGTTTTGACAGAGTAGACAGTGAGAGAGAGAGAGAGACAGAGAGAAAGGTCTTCCTTTACTGTTGGTTTACCCTCCAGTGGCCGCTGTGGTTGGTGTGCTGCGGCCGGCACACCGTGCTGATCCGAAGCCATGAGCCAGGTGCCTCTCCTGGTCTCCCATGCGGGTGCAGGGCCCAAGGACTTGGGCCATCCTCCACTGCACTCCTGGGCCATAGCAGAGAGCCAGACTGGAAGAGGGGCAACCGGGACAGAATCTGGCACCCTGACCGGATCTAGAACCCGGTGTGCCGGTGCCGCAGGCGGAGGATTAGCCTAGTGAGCTGCGGCGCCGGCCATCATATATACAGTTTTAAGAGCATAATGATACTACCCACCTGCTGCTCCCTCCCACCCGATCATCCTTTTCCTTCTTATTTTTCTTTTAATTTTTACAATGACATACTTTCAGTTTACTTCATTATTATTATTTTATTTTGTTTAAGGAATGCAAATTCATGCATTTAATACATACATATTTGGGAACATGATGATTCTTCCCCCCTACTTCCCTCCCACCAACGCTCCCACCCTTCCCCCTCTTCCCCTCCCATTCCCATCCTCTACAGAGATCAATTTATCAATTTTTCAGTTAGTTTTTTCTGATATTTATTTATTTATTTGAGAGTTACACAGAGAGAGAAGGAGAGGCAGAGAGAGAGAGAGAGCTCTTCCATCCGCTGGTCTACTCCTCAATTGGCCACAACAGCCAGAGCTGAGCCAATCTGAAGCCAGGAGCCAGGAGTCTCCTCCAGGTCTCCCTCACGGGTGCAGACGCCCAAGGACTTGTGCTATCCTCCACTGCCTTCCCAGGCCACAGCAGAGAGCTGGATCGGAAGTGGAGCAGCTGGGACCCGAACGGGTGCCCATATGGGATGCCAGCACTACAGGTGGTGGTGGCTCTACCTGCTACTCCACAGCACTGGCCACATTCAGTTAATTTTTATACTCATAAAAATAACCCTACACCAAGCAGAGAGTTCACTGATTGTAGTGAAGAAAAAACAAACAAGCAAACAAATATTCTTCCTCCACAGTCAAGGCAAGGGCTGTTCTAAGTCAGCACATCTCTCACTTGACTTTATAATCACAAGTTTAACCCTCCACCAAATAAAGAATTCAACAAGTTAACAATTGAGCAATATTCCTATTAATTTTGTTCTAGAATTTTTTTTCAAGCCTAACATCAGCATTGATCATTACCGTATGTTGTACTAATCTGGTTCTTTGAATTCTAAAAAAATCTGAATAAATAAGAAGAAAAACATCAAGCTTAAGTGGCTGTCCAAGAATTGGGTGGGGGGCGTATTTGTGGCAGAGGCTGGAGTGTACAACACAAAAGCAAAAAATGCCCCTAGGCCTGGGACCCTGCAGCCTGTCTGCCCAGGGCTGCTCAAATGCCCCGTCTCCCCACTGCATCCTCTGGTGATCATCCAATAATTACTGCTTAGTGCTTAGCTCTAATCATGCAACAAAATAAGTATAATTTTTGAAATTCATGAAAATAGTTTTTGAAGTGCTTCCTTTTTAAAAAGTTATGATTAGGTAGTATCTACTGCAAGTTTGCAGCCCTAGTTTTGGACTCCTGTGACCCGTGTTTGACCAAGGTTATCATTACTCTCTTTCTGAAGCACCGTATTTATTTGGCTTTCATAACATAACTTCTGAGTGTCTTCCTATCTCCCTTGTCCTCCCTACTTGGTCTCTGTTGCTGATTTCTCCTTAGGATCTCATTCAACACAGTTCTTCAGAACTCATCCCTGGACCTCTGTATCTACTAGGTGACTTACTGCCTGCACGTCCTTAAGTCTCATTTAAATGCGATGATTGATAAATTGTTTTCTAAAAAATGAGCTCCTGAGCTTGACTCAACATACTATCTAGATATTCGATAAGTATTTCACTGAATAAGTAGTACCTTTAAAACTAAGCTCCTATTTCCCTGACTACCACTACATTAGAAATTATTATTCTTACCCACCTCAGAAAATGCAAAGAAATCATAAATAACTTTCTTTATTTCTTTCCAAGGCTACATTCATATTCAGCTAATTGTTAGCTGTGCCTTGCAAACACTTTTCCTGTGTCTCCTTCTCATGAACTCCGATGCTATTACTCTTGCACCATCACCTCGTACCTGCTTTAGTGGAGTGGTCTCTATAAGAATCACAATTATAGCTTTGCTTGCTTTAGGACTTTTGTACCATTTCCTTCTGCCTGGAATACATTTTTTTCTAGTGAACGCCATGGTTTATTCTCATACTATCTTTGATTTTTAAATATTCTTTCTCAAAATTGCAAGTTTGCTCCTACCTTGATAGCAAAGTTCTTCTTCAATAGTTTATTATCCTTTAAAATACGAGGCCGTCTGATATACTATTTTAAATGCTTATACTCCAGTGTCTAGAGTAACATGGGTTTATTGAATTTTTCTGCATTTTTGGGAGATTAAAATTGGAAATATGATCTTTTGCATAGTATTCATCATCAGATATAAAGATTAAATGATACTGAAAAAGTCTTAGAAATACAGAGTGGATATTATGGTGAATGTTTGTGTTTAAATTGCTGTTTGGAATACCTGCATCTCATTTGGGAGTACCTGGCTTTAAGTCCTGGCTCTAGCTCTAAATCCCCGCTTACTGCTAATGGACAATCTGGGAGAAAGCTTGTAATGACTGAAGTAGTTGGGTCTCTGCCACACACATGGGAGAGGCATTATTTTAATTATTTTCCTGGCTTTGGACTGGCCCAGCCACAGCACCAATTATGGGAGTCTGGGGAATTGACCAGCTGATGGGAGTTCTCTGTCTCTCTCTGACCCTTAGTAGGAGACAAACATATAAAGACATTATAGTAAATGTTATTTATCATTAATGGTCATACTTTTTTTTTTTTTGGCAGGCAGAGTGGACAGTGAAAGAGAGACAGAGAGAAAGGTCTTCCTTTTACCGTTAGTTCACCCTCCAATGGCTGCCGCGGCTGGCGCGCTGCGGCCCGCGCACCACGCTGACCCGAAGGCAGGAACCAGGTGCTTCTCCTGGTCTCCCATGGGGTGCAGGGCCCAAGTACTTGGGCCATCCTCCACTGCATTCCCTGGCCACAGCAGAGAGCTGGCCTGGAAGAGGGGCAACCGGGACAGAATCCGGTGCCCCGACCGGGACTAGAGCCTGGTGTGTCGGCGCCGCAAGGCAGAGGATTAGCCTAGTGAGCTGCGACACCGGCCAATGGTCATGCTTTCAAAGATTTTGAAATGGCTGTATTTTCTGTACATATTTTTAACTGGAATAAAATGCACCAAATGTTAACTATTTCTTTACATTTGTAACATTATGGATGAATTTTATTTTATTACATTTGTTTAGTTTCCAGAATGATTATAGTGTTTATGTAGTACTTTTATACTAACAACGAAAATAATAGATATAATGTTTAAGGAATTTGGACTTCTTCCAGGTCTGTGTTTTGCTTTTTGTTGCTTTTGATGACAAAAATTTAGTTTTTGTTAGTCTTACGTGGGCCACTAGTATGAAATATATATATATTTTCACATAACTTGTTTTTGGTACAATTTTTAAAATTGCTTATCTGAATTCTACTTTTTTCTCCCCACAGATAGCCTTTTGATTGACTATCAGTTTACCTTCAGCTTACTACAGGAGGATGATCGCCATCATACTGCCATAAACTTCATAGCAAACCCAGAGCAGGTAAGGAAAGATCATTATCTTTTCTAATTTTGTCATATGAATTTCATTTTGTGATCTTTCATTTTGATTTTACCTCAGAATTATCACACCTAATGGCTTTTGTGAAAAAGAATCTTGTTAATTTTTTTCTTTTCATAAGATAGTGATCCTTGTAATTCAGAGAATTTGTTTTCGATTTTACCAATAGTTATGTCATGTAAACTATGAGCTCTGTATTCTTCCAGTAGATTTTATGCTTATCATTAATTATGCCTTCACATTCTGAGTAGTATTATTTGAAAATAAAACCTATGAATTCCAAACATGGTATATTAAACATATTTTCTTTTATACCATTCCATAGTAGTCAGTTTTCATTGTTTAGTTTCTAAATATACTGGCTTCTCTGGGTTATATGAATGATGGCTTCTTTATTGTAGTAATGATATGACTTTACAAGTTTATGAAGTTTAAAATTTTAAAAAAAATTAACTGAATTTTAATATCAACACATCAATTCAGGAAGAGAATTTACTGTTTTCCACCTTAGACTTTATAAAATTAAAACATCTACTTTTCTCTGAAGGGAGGAGAGAATTTCCACTTTGCTTATGGCCCTGTCAACCTAGTGGATACAAAAGGCTTCCATAGCTGAGGCAGATCATGTCAAGAGCCTTGGATGATTACTGATGTCATATATAAGAGTGAAATTTGTTAAATAAACAAAAGTCACTGTGCACTAACTTCCCACGCAGGAGTTTTGTCCTCAAAGAGTTGTACTATGAAACTTAATAGTAAAACTTCTTCTCAAGAATCACTTGCCTTAGTATATTCAAAGGAGGGTAGTAGTATGTCTCATAAGTAATAGTTATGTCCAAGAGCTCAAAAAAGATTTATCATCCTTGGATTCTTATTCGAAGACAATTAAGTTGCTAAAAGGAAAGATGAAGGAGGAAGGAAGGGAAAAGAGGAAGGGGGGAAAAGTGAAATCACCTTCGAGAAGCACAAACAGATCAGCCCTTGTATAGATGGTTGAGGACACTTTTCTTAGTTTCCTTTACTTCATTTGTTCTTTTTGTTTTCTTTTTCTTTCTAGAATAAAACAGGAGAGGGAGCAGGGAGGGTGGGTATGGTGGGAAGAATTACTATGTACATAATGTATTTATGAGATACATACAAATTAAATATAAATAAAAATAAACTTATCTAAGAAATGAAAAATCAATCATGTATTTTATTGGGGTAGAATTTTAGTGTTTTTGAAACTAAAATTTACTTATTTAAAATGAAAATGCCATATTAAACATGCATTTGTGTGTGTGTATATAAATATATATATATTTCTATCCCTGTTGTTGAATCCATTGACTTCTTTATTGCTTAATTGTACTTCCAAACCTGTGGAGCTTTTTGAGAATCTAAGAAATTTCATGTAAATGAGTTAAGAATTTGAGAGGGAATGATATTTCTCCAAAGTGTATGGAGACTAAAAATAATGATAATTTGATGGATTTGGAACATGATTCATATTGCACTGTAGAGGTTGTTCCTATATGTAGGACAATCATTAAGAGTGGTGATTTGAAGGTATAAGATTTTGACTGAAGGGCCAGTGCCGTGGCTCACTTGGTTAATCCTCCGCCTTCGGCACCGGCATCCCATGTGGGTGCCAGGTTCTAGTCCCAGCTGCTCCTTTTCCACTCCAGCTCTCTGCTGTGGCCTGGGAAGGCAGTAGAAGATGACCCAAGTGCCTGGGCCCCTGCACCCGCATGGGAGACCAGGAAGAAGCACCTGGCTCCTGGCTTCGGATCAGCGCAGCGCCAGCTGTAGCGTCCATTTGGGGAGTGAACCAATGGAAGGAAGACCTTTCTCTCTCTCTCTCTCACTGTCTATAACTCTACCTGTCAAATAAAAAAAAAAAAGAGTTCTAAAAATGGTAAAAAAAAGATTGTGACTGAAGGTGTCATCTAAATGAGACGGCCACGCAGCAGCCTGACCTTTTACAGGCTCCTTCCTTCTATCCTATCCTGGAGTGGGTGGTCCTTTCCTTCAGTCGGTTTCCCTCCAAGACTGCTCCATGGGAAATGCGGGACATAGTTGCTTTAGATACATTTTTCTCTTAAGTGCCACTCAAAAACTGGCAGATTTCTTTGCTGTTGGTTTACTTGCTTTATTATATTTTGAAAAAAAGTAATATTAAGAAATTATTATTCTGTCAATCTCTGTGTCTTCACTTGCCAGGTCTAACATAGTGATATGGGTTTTTCTACACATCTTTGTGTATTTAAAAAAAAAGTAAAAAGTAAAATTCACTCAGTATCTGAAACACAACCTATTCAAAATGACTGCCATTCTATGTCTTTCCCCAGGACTAAGTAGGTCCCTACTTCTTGAATTGAAATCATAAATAACATTTAAAGCAATCTTTTAGACTTTGTTTTCCTTAAAACTAAATGGCAAGAGCCTGTAATTTGCTAATAAATGAGAAGCAGGTTAGCTGATAAATTCTTCAATGTTCTCCTCTATGCTATTTAAATGATGTGATCTGCTATTTTTCCAGAGTAAGCTCATCATTTTTACCTGAAATTTTTAGTTTATGTACTTTAAGTGTTTTTCTATACATTTTTCTGAATGTGTAATAATAATAGCAAATTATGTACCTAACAAGAAGTCTATCAACAAAACAATCTTATATTGCTGTAAAATTACTTTGAACTAATCTAAAACTGTATCATTTAAATATAAAATACATATAAGAAAAGAGAATCAAATACAAATACTAAATTCTAGCAGCCTCTGGCTTACATACAAAAGATCAAATTTTAATAGGAGAGATAAATGAGAGACTTTAAATCTACCTTTGATTGTATTATGTGTTTTCATTAAAAAGTATAAATGGCATCTATACTTCTTCAGTTGAATGTTTACAGAATGTGTAGAGTCTGAGAAATGTTAACATGGACATCTTTAAATCAGTAAACTTAATCATGCCTATTTAGTATAATTTGAATTTGTTAACCTTAATATTTTCTTTTTTTGGTAGTCAAACAAAAATTTGGATATTTCGATAAATGCATCAAACAACTTTAATCTGAACATCACATGGTCAGTTGGTTCAACAGGTAAAAGAATTTTGATGTCACATCTCTTATAACCTGTACTGTTATTTTAAGTAAATGCAATTTAAAAAATACTGTGATTGTACTACTACTGATTAAAAAAAAATAATGAGTAGAGGGTAGGTGTTTGACTTAGCAGTTAAGTCACTTGTTAGGATGTCAGTGTCCCTCATTGGAGTACTTCTGGTTGAATCTTTGCTCCTGCTTCTGGCTCCAGCTTCCTGTTAATGCGGGTCCTGGGAGGTGGTGGGGATGACTCAGGTAGTCCAGGTTCTTGCCACCCGATAGGAGACAAGGGTTGAATTCGCAGCTCCTAGCTTCAATCTCTGCCTAGCCCTGAGAAATGCAGGCATTTGGGGAGTGAACTAGCAGATGGGAGTTCTCTGTCTTTGTCTCTCTCTTATCTCTATTTCTTTTAGCCATTCAAATAGACATTTTTTTAAAAAATGGGCACCAGTATGAACAAACTGTTATAACTTTCTTCTGTATTCAATTAAAATTATATGATACAATATTATACACTAAATTGTTTTGATTGCAGTGTTATGAAATGATTTTAATTAAGATAGATTAATTTCTAAATTACTAAAGAGACTGAGATTTTAATTATTTGAGTCATTGTTGAAGCTACACACAAATTATTAACTTTAATATTTATATAAAACAATGACATTGTTCTGGCATGCTTATATCAAGTAACAACTTATCTATTATTTTGAAACTTAGAAATATACACCTTCCTGTAACTTTAAATGTTAAGGAGTTTAAAGAAGCTACACAAGGGCCGGCGCCGCGGCTCACTAGGCTAATCCTCCGCCTAGCGGCGCCGGCACACCGGGTTCTAGTCCCGGTCAGGGCGCCGGATTCTGTCCCGGTTGCCCCTCTTCCAGGCCAGCTCTCTGCTGTGGCCAGGGGGTGCAGTGGAGGATGCCCAGGTGCTTGGGCCCTGCACCCTATGGGAGACCAGGAGAAGCACCTGGCTCCTGGCTCCTGCCATCGGATCAGCGCGGTGCGCCGGCCGCGGCGGCCATTGGAGGGTGATCCAACGGCAAAAGGAAGACCTTTCTCTCTGTCTCTCTCTCTCACTGTCCACTCTGCCTGTCAAAAAAAAAAAAAAAAAAAAAAAAAAAAAAGAAGCTACACAAAAAATGACATATGCAATAAAGTTTATAAATTTTAATTACTGAGTTTTTTAAAATGTGACTATGAAGTTTAAATCTATAATTTGAATTATGAAAATGTATGCTTACTCTTTTATATTTCTATCTTAGGAAATTCTATTGCTTTCAGAGGCATCCTGTTGCCTTGATATACTGATAATTGTCTATTTTTTGTATGGAAAATTTGTGGATTCTTAGAAACCCATTTTTGATTTATAAAAATTATTTTAGTATACTCTTTTAATATGTAGAATTATAAATACACAGCATTCAGAAGTGAAGGGATTTTTTGCAAATCTAGAAACTTTATTACATATGAAAAATTAAAAGTTCTATAGTAGTCCAAAACATATTGTAAAATCTAGGCACTATGTCTACTAAAATTCATAACAGATTTTCATGTTAATTTGAAATTTATTTGTGACCATAAAAAGAATATGTTTAAAAATGTTTTTATAATAATTTATAAAACACCACTAATTACTTTCAGACAGTCATTTTAGCATGCAAGAAATCATTTGAACTTTCAGATTTGCAGAATCAAATGTCAGAAATTTTAATATATCAAATTGGGAGATGAGGTTATGGAATCTTCTTTTTAAAAGAGCAAACAAGGTAATTTTGCAATAGGAGTTCAGTTGGAAGTTAATTCAATTACCCAGAATACTAATTCTCAGTATTTTTACTGCTCATTAAGGTAGAGATCTTGTTAGGTTGTTGGAAATGCTTGTTTCATTTGGTTAACTTCTGTAAATATTTATTGAGTGCCCAATATGTGTTTAACTAATTGAGTGTTTAGCTCATGTTTTAAATTATGGTCTCCTCCCTACTTATTTAAACTCGTAATGATTCAATTTGTGGTAAGACAAATAAATTGATTTCTTTTCTGTTTTATAATTGGATTGAGACATGTGAAAACCTGGCCTGGCTTACTTGTTTTGAAAAGGTCTGTGGAGAAGTAAGTAGAATTTATCGAGCTGTGCATATCTGTGTTCAAAAGGAGAGTTTACTAGTAGTAGCTATAAACTTGGGACAAATGTTGTAGTCATCCTGATACATAAGTTTCTATTTCAACAATGAACATGACAATGCATCTGGGATAGAATTGTTAGAAAAAATGATGTACCAGTGCATAGTACACTTCACTTTATCATTGGTAGTATTTAAACATTTTTAATACTGTATCTAAGGCTGGCGCCGCAGCTCAATAGGCTAATCCTCCGCCTTGCGGCGCTGGCACACCGGGTTCTAGTCCTGGTCGGGGTGCTGGATTCTGTCCCGGTTGCCCCTCTTCCAGGCCAGCTCTCTGCTGTGGCCAGGGAGTGCAGTGGAGGATGGCCCAAGTGCTTGGGCCCTGCACCCCATGGGAGACCAGGAGAAGCACCTGGCTCCTGCCATCGGATCAGCGCGGTGCGCCGGCCGCGGCGGCCATTGGAGGGTGAACCAACGGCAAAGGAAGACCTTTCTCTCTGTCTCTCTCTCTCACTGTCCACTCTGTCTGTCAAAAAAAAAAAATACTGTATCTAATATAGTTTTGTCAAACTTATTTTCTCCCTTGTCATTCAAAATAACAAGAATGAGTCTATTATGATAATTGTTTTTATAAGAGCAATTATAAAAATTAAATGTAATTTTTAAAGAAAAGATAAATATTATGTTTTCCCTGATTTGTGGTAGCCAATGTATAGAGTACAGAAAAAAAAAGCTTTAATATATAGGAGTGAAATTGACATCTTGGGATTTGATTATTGTTTTTAGCCCTTGTCTGTATTCCTGTGGAACAGTGCTCTTTCTGCTTTCTACTTGTGGAACTCTCTATTTAATGCAGCATTAAGGCTGTGGTTATGAAGTAAATTAAAAATATCTTATTGCAAAAATTAAAAAAGAAAGGGGAGAAGGAGAAAATTATTTTTGAACTACATGAAAACTGTTCTCTTTGTATTAATAAAAAAATTATGCTGAGTGTAATAAGCCAATCTCAAAGGGACAAATACCACTTGTTCTCCTTCATAGGTGACAACTAACTGAGCACCAAAAAGGAAACCTGTTAAAGTGCAATGAACACTAGGAGAAACGGTGACTTGATCAGCCCTCACCCTGACTGTTGATGAGCAGCTTGATATGTTATCCCTCTTAGTATTTTTTTTGTTTGTTCTACTTAATACTTTTGGTTGAATACTGTAATCAATACACAATTCTTATTAAGTGCTGAAACTTAACTGAAAAGTGATTGCTGTTAAATGTAAGAGTGGGAATAAGAGAGGGAAGAGATGTGCAATTCGGGACATGCTCAAGCTGACTTACCTCAAACGGTAGAGTTAGAAACATACCAGGGGATTCCAATTCAATCCCATCAAGGTGGCATGTACCAATGCCATCTCACTAGTCCCACTGATCAATTTCTGTTCACAATTGATCGTAATGATAGGACTAAGAACCAAAGGGATCACAGAAACAAGACTAGTGTCTGCAAATACTAGCTGATAGAATAAAAAAGGGAGAGAACGATCCAACATGGGAAGTGAGATACACAGCAGACCCATAGAATAGCAGATGTCCTAAACAGCACTCTGGCCTCAGAATCAGCCCTTAAGGCATGCAGCATGCGGATCTGGCTGAAAAGCCCATGAGAGTATTTCAGGCATAGAAAGCCAAGACACTCTGGGGAAAAAAAAAAAAAAAAAACACCTAAATGAAAGATCTCCACGAGTGAGATCCCAGTGGAAAGAATGGGTCATCAAAGAAGGAGGTACCTTTCTCTGAAGGGAGGAGAGAACTTCCACTTTGACCATGGCCTTGTCTAAATATGATCAGAGTCAGTGAACTCAGGGGGCTTCCATAGCCTTGGCAGTTCATGACAAGAGCCTAGCGTGATTACTGAGGCCATAAACAAGAGTGTCAATTTGTTAAGTCAACAACAGGAGTCACTGTGCACTTACTCCTCATGTAGGATCTTTGTCCTTAGTGTGCTGTACTTTGTGATTTAATGCTGTAACTAGTACTCAAACAGTATTTTTCACTTTGTGTTTCTGTGTGGGAGCAAACTGTTGAACTCTTTGCTTAATGTATGCTAAACTGATCTTCTGTATATAAAGAGAATTGAAAATGAATCTTGATGTGAATGGAAGGGGAGAGGGAGTGGGAAAGGGTAGGGTTGCAGGTGGGAGGGACGGTTTGGGAGGAAAGCCATTGTAATCCATAAGCTGTACCTTGGAAATTTATATTCATTAAATAAAAGTTTGAAAGAAAAAAAATATGAAGAACAAAAACAAACAAACAAAAAAAGAAAACATATGATTTTAAAAAATATTTATTTATTTGAAAGAGTGTCAGAGAGATCGATATCCTGTATCTGGCAGTTCACTCCTCAATGGCTGCAACATGCAGGGCTGTTCCAAGCGGAAACCAGGAGCCAGGAGCTCTGTTCTCGTCTCCACCTGGGTAGGAGCGGCCCCAGTATTTGGGCCATCATCTGCGGTTTTCCTAACTGCATTAGTAGGGAGCTGGATTCAAAGTGGAGCATCCAGAGCTCAAAAGAGGTGCCCTAATATGGGATACTGTCTTGTAAGCTGGAGGCTTAACATGCTAAGCCAGAACATCGGCCCCTAATGCACGTTTTTAAGTTCATAAACATCCCTCTTTGCTAATATGGATTATTTAAATTTGTTTCTATTATTTACATTTTAGCTGGAACAATATCTGGGGAGGAAACTCCAATAGTTTCCAAGGCTAATATAAAGGAATACAGAGACAGTTTTTCCTATGAGAAATTTAACTTTAGAAGCAATCCTAACATCACATTCTATGTGTACGTCAGCAACTTTTCCTGGCCTATTAAGATACAGGTAAGTGTTAAGGATATTTGCTTCTAATCACCATTGAGTATTTTCATTTCAAAAGGAATGCTGTTTTTGTTCAAAACAGTGGTACATATTTACATTCCTTGACTTGAATAATACTGAATCATGTACTTTCCCTTGATTACAAAATGGTTTATGGATGTGTATGAAAGTGAGTGCCTCTGTAAAATCCCTCATACAACTAATTTTGAACCAATCAAAGAATGTACTGAATTTATCTTTAAAAATGCAGAAATTTGAAGTAACTAGGATACTTGGGTTTTCTGATTAATTTTTGTGTTCTAACTGAGGGCAGATTACCTTTCATTACAAATAGCACTTGAATTATTTGCTGTGTAATCTCATGTTTAATATGTGGTGAACATAATTTAATCTTTTGTTAATGATTTAGGATTAGTGATGATTAACAGTTACTTCCTTGCAGATTCAGTACCTTTCATCCCTGATTTCTTAATCTGTGCAGATCTGTATTGAATGTCTCATTTCTGTTGTCAGTAGTGGTAATCTGCTGAAGGCTTCAGATTTATTTCTAGGAAATATTTGGTATGTTCTTTCTGATTTGCAGTAGTCAAGGTTTGTGTTTTTAATTTAGGCTGTCATGAAAAGAAAAGTCTGTGTTATACTGTTGGAATCCTTATTCATTCCCTTATAAGTGATTGATTATATTGAATTCACATTAGAGTATGCATAGCTTATATATGCCAACTCCTGTTCTAGTATGCTATGTTTTATAATCTTTTAAAGATTTGTATCATTCATTCCCTTTTTATATTAATAAATGATAGCATATGCTGTGTGACTAGAAATATTTGCAAATTGTGCTTACTTTAATTTCTATATAATCACTGGTGGAAGGAGTAAGTAATTTTTAAAATCATCTATGTTTACTGGGAAAATATTTTGTCTTGTTTGTAAGGTTTATTTGACACCTAATTTAATATAATTACTCAATTGATCAAGAAAAATTAGTACAAATTACTCAGAGTAAACTTAGTTTGGAAATTAATTTGAGAAAACTGTTTTTCCATTGTATAAAAATTAATTTAGATGCTAATACGATAAGAAATAGCACTGTGGCTTAGTGGTTAAAACCACCTACAATGCCTGCATCCCATATGGGCACCAGTTTGAGTCCTGGCTACTCTTCTTCCAATTCAGCTCTCTGCTATAGGCTGGGAAAGCAATGGAAAATGGTTCAAATCCTTGGACCCCTGCACCTGTATGGGAGACCCAGAAAAAGCTCCTGGCTTTTTGCTTTGAATTGGCCCAGTTCCGGCCGTTGTTGCCATTTGGGGAGTGAATCAGTGAATGGAAGACCTCTCTCTCTCTTTCTCTTTGTCTCAGCCTTTCTGTAACTCTGCCTTTCAAATAAATAAATAAATCTTTTAAAAATATTAGAAATATTTCCATACAATGTAAAAATTTTAATACTGTGTGGTATAATTTTATTTTATAAGAATCACCCAGAAATATTGATCACATTTCACTTATTTTATTTGTGTAATGGAATTTCTATACTTAAAAATTCTATACAATAAACTATAACATATGCATGTAGTTTTGTGATCAATTTTGAATATTTGCATTGTTTTCAGTTTTTGCCTTGTATTGGATAAAGTTGATATAAAAATTCTTACACTGTACATATATTTTAGTGGAAAAATGCACCCATTTCTCTTTGACAAATGAGGAGTATAACTGTGGAGTAAGCATATATTTAAATCGAGTAGATGTGGTGAAATGAGAAGGCTGTGCCAAGATGGCTCTGGTGAGCTAGCATCAGTTACTCAGGAAGTGGCTTTGGAACCCACCTGGCAAAGGAGCCTGCCTGCCTAGCAACAGACAGTGATTGGTTATGGCATAAACCACCCCTTGGCCAGATTGGCTGCCTTAGCTATATAAGCTGTTGCACCAACTGAAATAAACGAGTCTGTGAGCTGCTCATTTCCAGCCCACTTTCACCCAACTTCTGGTGTCTGTGTTGTGACTTAGCACCTCTTGCCCCCACCGTGCTTCTCCTCTCAGAACGAATCCACAGCAACAAGTAGAAATTGCCGAATTTTGCAACAGTGGCTTTTCCAATTTAAAATAACCCAATTGTTGACAATTATATTTGTTTCAAACATTTTCACTCAACATTTAGTATTATCTATGTTGTTCATTTTACTCATTTGTTAGAGGTATGGTATAATATATTCTGAAGTTTTAATTTTCATTGCTGTGATGAATTATTACTCTTTGGCTATTTTAATCAATTTTTTGAAAAAAAATTATTTAGTTGAAAGAGATTTTCAACCTGCTGGTTCATTCCCAGATGGCCACAATTTGGATCAATTTTAATGAATTATTGTTCAAGACTTTTGATTCTTAGAGGATTGCCTTTTTCTTATTAAATTCTACTTATATTGTAGCTATCAATCTTTTGTCAGATATGTGTTGTAAATATCTTGTGATATGTGGTGTGCTTTTTCACTCATGTATGAGTATAAAATAAGTTCAATATTTTTTTAAGATTTATTTATTTATATGAAAGTCAGGGTTACACATAGAGAGGAGAGAAAGAGAGAGAGATCTTCCATCTGATGGTTCACTCCCCAACTGGCTGCAAAAGCCGGAGCTGTGCTGATCCAAAGCCAGGAGCCAGGAGCTTCTTCTGGATCTCACATGTGGCGGAGAGGCCCAAGGACTTGGGCCATCTTCCACTGCTTTCTCAGGCCATAGCGGAGAGCCAGACTGGAAGTGGAGTAGCTGGTCTCAAACCTGTGCCCACATGGGATGGCAGTGCCTCAGGCCAGGGCGTTAACCTGCTGTGCCACAGCGCTAGCCCCATAAGTTCGGTATTTCAATGAAGTCAATGTATCAATATTTTATTTTATAAATAGTATTTGAAGTTTCATTATTATTTCTAGGATTACCAACTGGTTTTTAATTGTAAAAGAATTATTATTCTTTCTGTGAATTTATTGTTTGTATCCTTTCTAGTTATTTTTTATAGAGTGTTAGTATTTTACATTTTTAGAATATAAACAGCTAGCTATAGTTTATTGCATACATCATATTGTGTTCTAATTTTGTTTTCATTTTATTTTCTTTAGTCTAATTTGATACTATTACTGATGAAATAAAATGTTATAATTCTCCTAAATTTCCTTCAAAAATGTTTAGCTGTGCCATCCCTTCTCTGATGCCAGTGAGTTAGGGTGTATTTCAGTTGATTTATTTTAGATTTTTATCAGCTTTTTGGAGATATAACAGAAAAATTTTAAGAACTATATACATTTAAGGTGAACAGTGTGGTGTTTTCATATACATATAAGTATCATGCTAGCTATAGGATTTTTATAAATACATTTAATAGGTTGAGAATGTTTTATTCAAGTTTTGTTGAGAGGTGTTTTTTCATGATGATGATGAATGTGACCTTTTTTTGCGTTTTGTGATGTGGTCATAAAACTTTTGACTTCTAAGTTTGTTAACAAAATTGAATTAAATTGATTATTTTTCTATTAAAATTTATCTTTTTAATGTATTTTTAAATTGACATAAGTTTGTGTATTTGTGTGGTACAATGTGATGAGGTATTGTGGGGAGCAACTTGGACTAGACTATACTGTTACTGGAATTAAGACTTATTCTATGCATCTGCTCTCCCACAATGTGGTGCTGGGAGAGGAGCGTACAGCTTCTACCCAGCTGCCTCTCACCAACTTGACAAGCTGCAAGAGCCGCTCCTGATTGGAGGAGAGCGGCACGCTCGGCGTGTGGGTAGCAGAGTTGGGATTGGTGGAAGAGGACTATAAAGGAGGAGAGAGACAACATGCACCAGGAACATCTAAGGGGAACACCTGAGGAACATCTGAGCAGCCCCCGAGAGAGCCGACCGGCGGTGTGCCGCTCCCCCACGGAAGTGGGGAATGTGACAGGGGGAACTGCCCTTCCACGGAGGTGGAAGGGTCGGTAGCCAACCCGGGAAGAACCAGCAGCAAACCCGGGGAGGGCCGAGCAGACGAAAGAACAGCGCAGGGTCCTGAGTCGTTCCTCCATGAAGACGGGGAGCGACATAATAGTGCCGTGACTCGGATAGGAAACTTAGGAGGGAAGAAACGGGAAGAAGTGGGAAAATACCGGAGAGAGAGACTAGCAAAGAGCCTAGGGAAAAGCCGGACGAAAAGGTGCCGGAAGAAGCTATTGAAAGCCTAGGCATAGACTCGGATATGGACTACGGGGGGAAGCTGGGAGAAATCTCTAAGGTTGAAAGCGAAAGTGAAAGCTAGAACAAACAGACTCGGATACGGACTGTGAGGAGAAGCCAGGAGAAATGAGGGAGGAATATTGTTGGAAGAAAAGTTAGGGAAACATACCGGGTAGAGAAAAATGTTAGGGAAATTGAAGCTGCGGGGGCAGGCCGAGGCGGAAACGTAAGCCAGCTTGGGATTCTTCAAGTCAGCCCGGGGAACAAAAGGCGAGAAGCTAGACGCGTAAGCCTGGTTGGAATCCGTCAGATTAGCCCGGGGAGCAAAAGACGAGAAGCCAAACCATAAGGCGGAGACGCGTAAGCTAGGTTGAATTCGCCAGGTTAGCCCGGGGAACTTAGATTGAATACCGGTGGTGGCGGAAACGTAAGCTACGCTGTGTGACTCGCGGAAGCCGCCGCGTGCAGAGAGAGCACGGGGCGTGAATAGATAGGGAACGTGGGGCTAGCGTGAGGCCGTGGTGTGGGCGCGAAGGGGCACGGAGACCGCGGAGTGCGTGCGGGAAGCCGCGCAGATGAGAGAAGCGCTGGCTGAAGCGGCTCAGAGCCGGGAAGCCGCCTAGAAGCAGCCTCGGGGCGGGCGCCGGGAAGCCACAGGGATAAGAGAAACAGAAGTTTAGAAGTAAAATGAGAGAAATAGGAATGCTGGTAGATAGAAGTAAAATAGGAGAAATAGGAATGCCCGGAGATAGAGAAATAGAGAAAAATAAGGCCTCCCCACAACACGCACGGC